CTGTTGAGAGAGACACCAGTTCAGAAACTCCTGCAAAGGTCTGTGAAAGTTGAACAAAGTTATTGCCATTGTTGCAGATTATATAAAGGGAAGAGAGAGGCAGGTCTGTTACTGGGCTTGCACTGAGTTTTTTTCATTGTATTATATAAAATTGTGTTTGATTCTGTTTGATTTGTGTTTGAAATAAATTGTGACTGTGTCTCTGACATTAGCAAATAAATCTACTGTTGTCTTCATGACGACCAATCATGATAAAGTCATGATAATGACCCCATGATAACCCAGAAATACCCAGTCTATAAATTAATTAATTACTTAAAAAGTGCCTACAAGTTGGCACTTTAAAGAAAAGTTCAATACCATATCTTACTGTCTAAGACATTTGTCTCCTAACCAGGTACCTAAAACCTCCCAGTGAACATGTTATGGCACACTGCAATATTTATTTTATTATTTCAATTTGTTTTTGCATTAAACAGGAAGTCGAACATTCTTTTAAAATTTAAAAATTTAATTCTCATTGGAGTTAATTTTTAACGACCTATTCTCCTCTTTTTATGTTTACCATCCACACAGTTTGATTGGCCTCCACTGTCAATTTTTCCTGTTGGTTCCACTGCGTTCAGATAGTGTTAATACGTGTACCCTATACTTCACATTCCTTATCATCAGACAATCTTGGTGTGTTTTTTTTTTCTTGAAATGTTTCGACGGTGAGCTCCTGTCCAAGACAGCAGTCCATGTGTAGGATAGTAAAAATGCCCCCTCATCTGGGTTATCAGGTGTGTTGCACACTTTGTTATTTCTATGGCTTCTGTAACCAGCGTTGATGTTCGTGCCTTAGTAAAAACAGCCTATAAGGACACATCACTGTGACATCAAGTGAGTCCACTGAAGAAGATGAAGTTCACCATCGAAACATGTCAAGGTAAAAACACACCTCAACTGTCCTTTTTTTTTTTCTTCTTGTTTTGGGGCTCATATACTGCACACGTCACCATCTACAGTATGTAGTTGTTCAGTACATGACCCTCTACTACAGTTCAGTTTGACCAGCATTTTATCCCACACTGCTACATGGAGACTTTTTGTGACTATAATGGCAGAACTGTTTACAGCTGTGATCACAGAGGAGGTACTGCAGAGTACCTTCAAACACACTGACACAAAGTGACCAGATGGCCTGCAGCGTCAAGTTCCTGGTGTCACGTCAGCTCGATGCTGAAGGTCACTCCGCAATAAAAAGCATGTTCACTGACCCAGTGTTTTCAATGTCGAAGCCTTATTCCCTCCTCACGTGACACCAATTAATCATAGTCTTTTGAGAAGCAGCTTCCATCTATCATCCAACATGTAGCTCAGTGATGGGGTTTTTTCCCTTCATGAAAGAGTCCAAAGGGTCATTTTTTTCTCTAGATGCCACAGTCGTCATACCGACCGTGGATTAGTCCACATGTCTGAACTTGAATCACGGTAGGCACAATTCACCAATCAGACAATCTGAAGCCTCTGCTTTGTTCTACAGCCCAATGACGAGCTATACTGTGTAATAGCCCTGCTGGTCAGCTCTGCAGGTGTCTCTTTGTGTTGTCAGAGACTCTTTCAGTGATGAGCCAGACATTTTCAACAGGACACAGAAACTATTCTAAAGGCAGCAAAGAAAGTGCATTGCTCTAATAAGGCACCGGCATTGTCCTGCTGGAAAATCCACAAAGAGCTGCTCCACAAAGACAGCACCCTGATGTGAGGACGATCTTTTCTATAATTCTATATAAACCTACACTTCACTGGCGCTGGACCCAAACTCAATGATTTCTTTGGCACCGTATTTCAGGGCCCATCCTTTAACTAATTAATCGTAACACGTACACTTCTAAGTGTTAAATATGAACCGAGGGAACTCTGAGGTATCAGTGATTACTCTTCTTTTCTTACAATTTGAATTTCAACCATATACCTATTCCCTGAAACATGATACAACACCCGACTCTTGTGATTGGTATTGACTTAAGAAGTGTAACATAAATTACGTGAAACTGAACGGAACATTGCTCTGTCACCAAAGTGACAGTGGTCTCAACATCGTACTTGAAACAATGCAGCTTGGCATTGTGTCATACAGAGTGAAAATACAATTAACGCCATCAACCACCAAGCTGTTGTGTCGCTCTCCTCTACAGCACGTACCGCGGGAGTGTTCACTGACTACGTACAGATATTTACAACCTTGGGATTTAAAGGCCTTCTAAATTATTGTCATTTCACTCACAGATATTCATCTTACTAAGGTTAGACAGTCTTGCAGGATGACCTTCAGCTAGCATAATAAATTATTCATTCTTTTCCGACTCTAACAGTCAAAGGCAATAGAAATCAGTTAAGCAGAACAGACTGTGACCAGGCCAGTACTCATGTACAGTGAATCAAGGACAGTAAATAATGAGCAAAAGATATCTGAACCAGGGTGAAACCAGGAGGTTATTGTAATGTAAAAGGTGGAACAACTTCAAACTACTTGACAATCGTGCAGGGGCGCTGCCGGGAATTCTGGGGCCCATGAAAGGATATGACAATCTCCAAGGAAAAACTTAAACAATATTGACATCTGGTAGAGGGTCTGATGGGTGTGTATGTGTGTGTGTGTGTGTGTGTCAAAATGGAATTTCTTCAAACACATTGCATCAATTGTGACTTGCTAACAATGTGGAGCAACCTCATTAGGTGCTTTGCTTCTGATTGGACAAAACTAAATTCCAAACATGTTTGTGGCATGAGTGTCAGTGATCTGATTGGGAGAAAAACCCTAATTAAAAACTTATATTTAAAAAGCCTTAGACCTGATCCTTGCTCCACCTGAATCCTATTTGCATAATGATTCTGGACACATTGAAAATGTCTGTGACATTCAGACTATTGCCAAATGAGTTTGCACAATGCTGATTATGCCTACCTGTCCGTGGCCCTCTCTGCTTCCATTGCAGTCTTTCAATGTCTTGTTGCCCGGCAACTTTTGAGCAGCATGCACAGGAACTGATTTGTTTAATGTCAAGGCTGACATTGAAGCAAGACGGAAGCACGGCAGCCACAAAGTAATTCATCTGCAGGCATGTGAAAGTGTGACTGACAACATAAATGGATCCTGAGAAAACTGCAGCTTGGTGTAAATTCAAAACAGGGGCCTATGTTTGCTGTTCAAACACATCCCACAAATAATTGTTTTATTTCAGTTCAACGAGACCAAGCAGGAGCACAAATACAACATCTACACTAACAACTAACATTTTTATTATTGCCATTATATTCAACAAGCCAGACGGTGACCAAGAGCACTGAAGCACGACTGAGGCATGACAAGGACACCGGGAAACAAGTGGATACGATTAAAATGTGATAGGAAACAAAGCGCGTGAAGATGAAGATGATGTACAGAGAATATCCAATATGTATGATATCAGCACTTCAGCGTAATCAACAGTGATGAAAACAGTACCACCCCCAGTTACAAAAACTTGTACAGCAATTCTTCTTTTGAACATTAGCAGATGCAGTGATAATATGCTGTGCTCTGTCGTCACTCTGTACCACTGAACAACAAAATATTTTGGGAGTGATAAAATACATGTCTAGTCATACTGCAATATACTTCACAGTACACCAAGATGCATTTTTCAGCCCAGATAAAATATGTGAACCATGATTTAGACTAAATAGATCATGGACCACACGAGGATGACATTTCTAACATTTTAAATACAACCACTACATCATCACACCAACTGTATCACATCAGGTGTATGTAATAAATCTGTGTTCTACCCTTCCCCACACAAATATAACCTAAACTTTTAAGAGTTTTTTAGAGTTTTTTTATACAAGACAACAACTTCGAAACTGAAAATAATCAATTAAGCGAGCTGCAAACAAAGTGTGCGTTATGAGTATTTATGAGCACTCACAATGTGCAGTCACACCACGGTCATATGCTCGGATGCTGCTCACAACAAATTACAAACATCATCCTCTATAAAAAGAAGCACATTGCATTACACAGAGTCCACTACGGCAGATGGACACTAGGAATCACTGCTGGTCTGAGCAATGTATCTGTCACTGTGGGTGAATGGAGAATCAGCTTCTTACACTGGACAAATTGAACTCATTTGATTCACATTTGACAACGATGGTTTTGAATGGCAATGAAATCCTCAATCAGACCTTGTGAGCACCGAGTGCTGAGATCATATGGTGACATGCGTTTTCTGATCACTTTGTACACATTTCACAGAAACATTGCCGGAATTTATATTCTGCTTCAAGCAATCACAACGAATATATGTGAAGGGAACGGCTAAAAATAACATAGATTAGATCACAGCTTGTAAATAAATCACATTTTCTCCACATTCTTCTGTATTTCTATGGATATTCTCTGAATGGCTTTTAAAATATCTGTTGATTCAGTCAAAAATACAGACTTTTAAATAAAGGGAGTAAGGCCACTGTGAAACAGGACATTGACGGAATGGACAAAATCTCCAATAAAGACTAAATCTATAAAACACGCAGCTGCTGCTGCTGTCTAATGTTTTTCTTCAGCTGTGATTAAAGATTTCACAGTATCAAGATGGGGCTTAAATGACAGAAATTAGTCTTTCTCAAATCAGTGCGGCTGCTTAATCAATGTTGGGTGAGTATTATCTGTATTTCATACGAAGGACTGAAGAAAAAGAAGAACTCAGTTTTTTTAAATAATTAATTCAATTTTGACACACTGGTGACATTTACTTGACTCTTTACTCTCTGTTCTTTTTTGGTTTGATAATTGTTGGGTTTTTTTTAAGTCAGATAGATGTTCTGACAGGGCCTTGATCTTTAGGAACATTTAGGAACAATCATCCAGTGTTAGCGGTTACCTTCAAAGAACCAACAGTGTCCCACTACTGCTGGGTCTTAAGTCTACACTGGGGGACGGGGAGTAAACAATAATTGACAGTACTTACTGCAGTTGTTCATCCGTCAAACCAACAGGCCACTTGTCCACAACCTTGGTCCCCGTGCAGCGGATGTACTGTAACAAGTGGATGTTAGAAATGACAATTAAAAATGTAATACCAAGAAATAAGCCCACAGTCATACTGTGTTCTGTTTGTAAATTAAAATTTCAATAATACTAATCGTTTACAATGTACCAGTTCGGTCATCCATCAGAAAGGGTAGAATGGATAAGATAATTCCTTTCATTCTAGAACACTCAAACAATTCTTCCTGCTTAGCCCGCAGCCATTTGCATCATCATAATCGTTACTGGAGCCTCGGAAATTGGTTTTTAGTTAATCAGTAACAACAAAACATGACTGAGAGAAGGAGAAATTTCAAGCAGTCGCTCAACCCATTTTTTTTACTGCAACAATTTTATTTTCATTAGTTCTGACAATCACATTTTAATTGTTAAGAAAACATCTGGGGTGCAGAACTTTACAGGGTCCCGATGGATACCAGCAGCTGTGCCCTGCCCTTCAGTCTGGGCATATATTTCCTGGCCATGAGGAAAAGACATTTAAATTGTATCATATGGACATATATATTAGGTCTGTTGAAATCAAATGTGTTAATCACATTAATTCTTTTGTGAATATTTTAATTAAACATTTAAACACATGCAAAGAACTACACAAACATAGTCAATACATGTTAGTATTTGTACACTCTGCAGGAGCCTATTATGCCTTCCAATGCGACACAAATGTCACACGTCTACCTGCTGTTTGCCTTTCTGATCATACAAAAAAAAATTAGGAATGACAATTGAACTTAATTAATCATGAAAAATTATAATTGTGATTAATCATATTATTACTGCAAACATCAACTGTTATTAATTGCACAAAAGTACATTTTTCTTTTGTGCATTCTTATTCAGTCACTGGGTTTGTACTGGTTAATAAACGGTTTTATTAAAAACTGTTAAAGTTTTTAGAAAACGTCTTTGATCATTAGATAAAAACCAGATGACTGTGGAGTAATAGACATGCCAACCTGTGCAACGAGATAAGGAATCACGTTTTATTGCACGGCGTCAGAGGCAGGTCTGTGAAGAACAGCACTTCACGGAACAGTATTTAGAGTGACAGTTGTACAATACAGTTGTAAAAGGTCAACTACTGGTTCACTGGTGTTGTAGCTATGTCCTTTGAGGAAACATCGGACCCTCCAGCTACATGACAGTTGGACTTCCTCTGGTAATGAACATCAGTTACTGCAGCCGTCTGCCTTGTAATGAAATCTTTATCTCTCCGCGTGAAAAACACAATGTTACTATTGGAAATTTTTTATGGAAAACAGTGACGTAGAAACAGTCCCAACACTTTTCTTGCTCATTCCTACTTTAACCCTGTATGGTCTTTCAATTATCTGCTCAATTTCTAATACGAATAAATTACCTGAAGTCAGGCATTAATACTCGTAGAAAATAAAGACCAAAAATTATTCAGTATTAATGTAATTATTATTCAGTGTAGCGACCTCTTGTCTACAACAGGCAGTAGATGATAAATAAAGTTTGACAGGCCAGACAGATCCTGTGTGACAATGCACCAGCTTCAGGCAAATATAGGATCATGCATCAAACAATCGTTAATTGGACAACAGAATCAAGGCAGCGATGCATCTGACAAAAGCTGAGGACACGGTGTCTTCTTCCTTCATTAACCTGATGAGATCTCCTAATTTGTTTGTTCACCTTTTTTTTTTTTTTTACAGTTATCAAATAATCCTCTCTCAAATCTGTCTGTCATGATTAAAAACTGCTAAACACACTGTTCCAATGTGAGTTCCCAAATGACTGAAACTTCATTCAAATAAAAAGTAATGGGACCCTGTGGCTGGATACGTGTCTCTTTAACAAATGTGTTTTGAGCCACACATGCCAACACTGGTTAGCATGTTGAGCTAACAGCACAGGGCTCACAGACAGAACTCCTGGTCCTTCTCTATGGAGGACTAAACTTGGATACTATTTGTATGGATGCCAGAGTGAATTGCTCACACATTCACAAAGTTTTTCCTGAACTGGAATGGTGCAGGGTGTACATGCTCACTCACATCCAACCACTGGGATTGGGAAAAGAAGAGGAAGTGAAAGAGAATGAATGAATGGATGCCTGAGGCTAATATACTGTACATGACCAGACTATAGAAGGGACTTCTCATATTGATCATTTTTAAGTCAATGACTTGAGCTACCGTGATAGGAAGAGTAGCGGTTTCATATTGGATTTCTGTGTTTTGTTCTCTCCACATTAATGGTATATGTTGTTTACCAGACCAGAGATGCAAAATGTGAGGCTGTACGAATTGCAGTTCAAGGACACGTGGATTTTAATAAATGACCATGAATAAACTAGACTAGACTACAGCAAAAGTGATTCTTACATTCACGTGGGCACATGTTGGACCAACATGAGTAGAGCTACATGACGTCCAGGTTTTATGTTGTTTTGCAAAACAAATTCTCTATCTTGTGTTATTTCTACTGCTGTATTTTGCAATAAACAACTTTTTTTGCAGCTCTGATGAATTGTATTAAATTTGTATAAACTTTCACGTTATTTCCCAGTCGACTTCACTTCAACCATATTGGTCATCCCTTCTACCTATCCCTACATAAATAATGTATATAAAAAGTTGACTACAATGATTTCGTGTGGAGCAACAGTTCAACCTGAAATTAATTTCCTCACAGTCTAATTTCGGAGTTCCAACATGGCCGTATTTAACAGCTCGGCTGGGAAAATGTGTCATGTTTTATCACCACGGCAGAGACAGATGACTTGGCAAAATTTAAATTAAATCTGTATTCTGCAAGCCAGGAAAAACATTTCCTCCTCTCAAATTATTCAAATTATGCATGCCGTATTTTTCTTTTATGTAAACTAACACTGGGTTTGGTAATGACACCCCCTGAATACCAGCCCCACCCAAGGGTGTCTTAATTTGTCAAGGTGAAACTCCTACTACATTACCTGGTGCAGTTTATAGTTTGGGGGGGGGGGGTGTAGACGGGGTGGCGGTGGGAGGGATATACTTAAGGACAGTGAAAAAACAATTATTGGAAACATTTTTCATTTTCCGGGCCCTAGACCTGCAGTGATGAGAGGCGTAGAGAGAATGAGGAACTGGAAGGAAACGGGTCGGTTTAGAAATTAATTACCGGGGGGAAATTATTAGTTGGCTGTGAGCTGAGTGAGACGAAATGAAGACTTGAAATGTGAGCAAAGCTCAAAATGATGCCAAGAGGTCAGACATGACATGAATCAAGAAAACTGAGAGAAGAAAAGACAGAACACCATGGTCGGGGGAAGAAAAATAAATCATTTTCTATATTAGTTTTTGGCACCTCCCCCCACCCCCCATTGTCTAGTTTTAAAACATAGGTACATATTTCAAAAGCTGTGTAAGTCAATAGTGGTTACTAAACTACAGAAATGTTCCTTTAGGAAGAGAATGGAGAGCAATACAAAAGGCAAAACATGTCTGAGTATTCTCTATAAATGCAGTGGTTTTTTTAAACCTTTGTGTAATATTTACATATGCCATGCTTTATATCTATATATTACAGTAGACATTGTATTTTGATGTGCAGGATTTCCTTTTTCTTAAGTGGAGTAGTTTACATTCCAGTCTTCCCATGTGCAATGTTTTATATTCCAGTTTTCAGAAGTGAAATATTTAATTTTCTATTCCTCTTATGGTCAACTTTTAGTATCACAGTCTTTTGTGTGCATTTTGCAACACCTTACGGTTTATACTATAATATTTAATAATCTTTTAATTATTCATCACTGTGACATTTATCCTTTATTGTCTTACCTTGAAACTTAATCTTTGTTGCTTTACTTCTACTTACCCATTTAAAATATCTTATGTTTACCTAAATGTACCATAATAATAATCGCCCAGGAGAATTAGATACAATTGTCTGAATCTGAATCCGAGACACAACAACATATAGTAACATTAAAAAGCCAAAGGTGTTCGAGAGGCTCTTCAAACTTGTGGGCCTGTTCTGACTTTCAATCAAACAAAGATGAGTTAACAAGAGCCCTTCTGGTGGTCTGTGACTCAGTGTCGAGTGTCTAGACTGAAAGAGAAATTCAATTACATACAGCTGCCATTATCGTGGCCTTCCTTTAACTGTCACTGTGCTGTTTCGGAGGGGAAGTTCAAACATTTCACCTCGGCTGATTTATCACCGGTAGTTGGGCGACCAAAATTGCTGTTCTCACCTCGGTTGTAAAACAAGCCACCTCAGCAGACAGTAATTGCTCTGTGCCCTAAGGTTCATCAAAGCATTAAGATATTGGCTGTATCAAAGTTATTAGTCACACAAAGAGGAAGTGAGTTGAAAAGCCTGCTTTTCACTCGAGTGAGGGGACAAACAAGAACATGGCTACACCTGGGGGTCAACATCAGATTAGTCTGGGTGGCGTCTGCAATATGAGAGCAGCCGCGAGTGGACTTTCAGAAACTAAAACTGAACCAGACTTGATTTGTATTTTTACTGTTTTAGGTACAAGTAATAATAGAACATACAATTAAGAGCACTGTCTCCTGGGTGTGTGTTAGTGTTTTTGGTATGTGTGTGTGCTGTTCTTTAAATGACTGGCTTCTGGGTCAACACTTCAATAATTGGTGAATTTCATTTTACCCCACGCCTCTTCACACTCAGACTTAGGGCTCATTTTGCATGTTCATAATAAGGAGGGTTGTCGTGTTATGGACCTAGACTTTCTCTCGACTTTCTTTGTGTAAGAGCTTAGTTTATTGCATAGAAGGAGCAACTTTACGATGCAGTAATTGATTGTTTTGCTCATAATTGAAGAATATTAAATGCTTACATAAAACAGATTAAAATAAATCTACTTAAATCTGCTTAATTCAGATGTTTGTAATTCTATTTGGTAAAACATATTCTTTGCTGACAAAAAGAGAAAATAGTTTTTACTGATTTTGAGGTGTGTTATTCTTAGATCCGTTTATTTTATTATACATTTTCTCAGTATTATACTTTTATCTACTGTATGACTCATTATGGAATAAGGTAATGAAGCAAAAAAGTAAATCTAATACAAATAAACTCAAATATATTTAAGCTTGTGTAAAACATGTAACGAATTATAATTGAATTTAACAGACGACTATTCAACAAACAATGAAAATCATTTTCTAAAAGGGGATTTTGTGCCACACTGTTAAATCAATAAGGACTTTCTCTGTAAATCCAGCTGTATTTCTAACTAAACTGTGTATCTGTGTTTCTTTTGTCTACACAGTACATGTGGTATATGTTGGTGACAGAAAGTTCCCGGGAACAAAGTGGACCTGAGGGTTTAGGGACCCTTCACAGCTGTGAGGGTACCAGGAAACAGGTTTCCTTCAATAAAGGAGTGGAAGTGATTAGGATGTGGGTTCATCGTAGAAAAAGATGGGTGAGAGGTAGGGCGTCCAGAGATTTTTTATTTTTATTTTCTTCAATTTGTAACAGGAATACTTCAAACAGGAGACTGGAGGGGGATTTGTAGAAAGGCAACATTATACACTATGATGGGTATGTAATCCTATCAGAGCAGAACCAGTGAGGATTTAAATCTTCACATCATATAGGAACAGAAGTGCAACATAAACTGAGGACCTGTGTACTCCTAATAACTAATACTAATTCAATTAAATATAATATTTTATGAGGATAATATAAGATTATTTCACTTCATGTTTTCCTTTTTATCAACTTTGTTTATTTTTTTATTTTTTTTCTAAATTTCCATCTTGACTTCATTTCTAATTAAAAAACCCATATTAACAATATTAACGGTATTATCGAGGAACAAACCAAACATTACACTGTCCACAGGCCTGATCTTAAATTGTCTTTGGGTCTAGGCCATAATGTTCATTACTGCTGATGTAAATTGCCTCTTTTTCTGTCAGAGAACCAAATGTTTACTGTTTAATTTGGGAATAAATCTCATATTACAAATAAAAGTCTTCATAAGATCAATGACGGGCAGGAAACAAAGCAGTGATTTATTCATAATGCCGCTCTGTTCCAAACTATCAAATGCAGACGGAGAACTCCAAAAAAACACCTGGAAAGCTGTACTTTTGAAGCACTTTTGTAGTGTATTTTTCTTATTCTTTATTTAATATAAATATCTGTTTACATATTTGTCAATTTCTTGTAATATACTTAAAATCTTAGGCCTAAAGTATTTGTGTTATTGTAGTCTCCCTGCATGTTTACAGAGCGATGCTGTACTCCACATTCTCCAACTAACAACTCTATTTCAAAGCAAAATATTAGATAATACCAGATAATATTTTGATTTTTCAGCTCATATCAAAAAATGTTTTGAAAAATAAGGAAAATAAACTCTAAGTATTGACGTATCATTCAGCCAAAATGCCTGTAAAAATCAACAGAAATGTCCTCTTTGTGCCAAAACAGATAGACACACAGTGGACAATGTAATATAGTTAGGTTTTATCCCAGTAAAGTAGAACAAAACCTAAACCACCAAACCACAATCCTTGTGTTTTTAGGAGTTTCATCAGCCAAAAAAGTTCCTCAGTGATGGATTGATTAATGCGTCCAAACACCTATTACAGTCTTTTGCCAAAAAATTTCATTTTTGCTTTTGGTTTTCTTGGACACAAAAGTTTTGAGAACAAAAAAAAAAAGCAGCCTTTGTCCTTAGCAGTCCAAGGAGATGTTTCATTGTTATCAATGAGATTATTAATCACACGTCAAAGGTTGATAAAGGCCAATAAATTAATGAATGGATCACTCTGCAGTGTCTGCTTGATTTAGAACCAGGTGGACAGGATTCTGACATCGATCCTTTCATTTCCAAACAAGTGCCATGGCTAAATTGATGGGTGATTAAAGTGAGACAAGATTGATGGTTTCACATAAGGATAGTGGACCGTCCCAATCTCCGAATTCCTAATGGCCTTAAGGTCCTTTTTCTATCCTTTCTCTCTCTCTCCCTCTCTCTCTCTCTCTCTATCCCTCTCTCTCTATCTAATTTTAAAGAGCTTTAAGAGCTGCTGTTGCTGAGTTTTGCAAAATGGAAAAGCTTTGTGATTATTATGCATGGGATGATCTGGAAGCTAAAGAACCATAATTTAATTTAATAAGGTTAGAGATCTATATATTTTGTTGCCTTTATTAAGGTGGACCTGTTTATATTTTTAATGGATGACAGATATATAATTCAATGCCATATTTAGTTACTTGCTTCGTAGAGCAATACTGGATTTAGTTCTTAATGAGAATTATATTTGACGAATATTTTTAAATATATGTAAAGAAACATTTTAGATAAATGGATAGTTTGATGTACATATGTTGCAAGTATTTCAAACTTAATTAAATAACTAAGAAATTAGAAGAAAACAACAGGGTTGACCTCTGTTTTAGTCTCTGTTAAAAAGAGGTGGGAAACAATAAACAGAGGTTTTTGTCATGTCTATGAATGGTGATTAATTTGATTAATCATGCTTAATTACAATCACAATTAATCTGATTGAACATGTAAATGGTGTCAAGGCTCGACCACAAACATATAAAGCCACAACACATACAGTACTGTTCACCTTCCAACAATATCAGTGTCAACCATGTACCCACCTCGGGCTTTTCACAGGGTAGATCTGATTGTAAATGCACGATGTGACTGACACTAATAAAACCTTATTTCTGTTTCAGCAATTAGTCATTCATTGTGTCATACTTAAAATTATTGAAGGTCTTTTCATTCTGTCCTCTTGTCTATACTCATCAACACCTCCTTGATGAGCACATCTCTATTAATTACCGGAATAAAAAAAGAAATTACACCACTCCTGAGGGATGATTGATCACAATATGCATCCCTCAAGGCAATTATTACTTTCAAGTACATGTAATTAAATAAGGGAAATATATTGTACACAATTAATTATGACTAATTTAGCTCATTTAAACGGACAGATAAAGCACAGAGTTAAATGCAGTCATATTTTACCTTTTTTATTGGAGGCCTTTGCAGTGCTTACGTCCTTGCTGCTCCTCACAGCAGCCTCTGGAGACCTGAAAATGACAGGAGAGAGATGGCACAGTTGACAAGCCTGCGAGGAGTTTAATTTAATACCCACATTGTCTGGGTATTTCATGAGTAAAATTTCATATTGTCAGCTCGGACAAACACTGGTATGATGTAAGATAGCGTAGTGTGAATGAGAAAGCCCAGTATGAGAAATCAGCCTTAATAACTGTCAGGACCGGCGTCTCCTCTACATACCCTTGTCAGAAATAAATGTAGTCGATTTGACTCTTCACAAAAGCACATCCATTTTACACAAGCCCAAAATTAAAACCTGCAAAAGAAAAATGGTTCAAAGTAGTGAGTCTGCTTTGAACCATATGTATATATATTTTTATATATATATATATTTCTTTATTTCTACAGCAGGGGTCTCAAACTAAAATACAGTTGGCACTAATGCCACTATAATTCCACTGGAGGGCCACATCCGTGTTCAATAACCCCCTCCCCCTCCAAAAAAAAACAAGTATTTTAAAAAAAAAGTCAATATTTCATACAAATACTGCAAATAAGTGCAAAGTCAGTAAATTGTTTTGGTCATTCTTAAATAACCAACTATAAAAAATATTGAAAATAAATTTGAGGACCACGTTATTGTGGTCCCCTTGTCACGGGCTGAGAGTTTCATGTCACTGCTCTACTGTTGATCAATGTTGAAATACAGATTTCACAGAGATTTCATCCAAAAGCCACAAACACTGAAATACATAGAGGAAACCATTCCAGAAAAAAAGGGTAATACCTGCTGGGCACATCTGACATGGAGGCAGATTACTGCTAGTAAAGCCACCACTCAGTGAGCGGTGGTAATGACCCTGAAGCTTAAGAAGAGAGTCAAAGCATCAGGATTTGGCCTTGCACATGGACCACACGGGTACAAACAGGAGACGAAGTGCTCGAATGTGACAACACTACTGTCTGAAGATGAGTATTTCGCAACTAAAATGTAAATCCATGTGATGGTGTAATTGGATTATCTGTTCTCAAAATGTAATGGCTTCTCAGAAACAATGTTGAAATAGAAGATTCGGCTAATCACTTATCCTTAATGTCTGTGCGTTGCCAAGAACCCTGAGCTAGACACATCCATCAAAGGCCGTCGTTAATAATTAAGAGGGATTACCATCCATGTATAAGAAACTGTAAACCAGCAGGGTCATAAATTACCTTCCTAGCAGTGATGGTATGAAACAGATGAGTGACCAACAAAAGCCTGTCAGGCTAACGATAACTAATTATTTACATGCTATTTTCAGAGAAACTAATGACAAAGTCTGTAGAAACCAGTACAGGCGTTACAGTGTGTGACTTTAACAAGTTTTTTTTTTTTTTCAGTGAGTGAATGTTTGGTTCCGACCTTAATGACATGTTGCATCTGTGTTTTCAGCGCCCACATGGGGGACTGCCACTTCTGGGCCACTTGTCTATGCAGCAGCCTCTCTGACACTCCACTCGTTAGTCTGCAGACACCTTGTTCTGCCTATGACAGGCAGACACAGGGGGGTGTGAATTAGAATTCACCTCTAATCACTCTCTAATTCACCTCCTGTCACTCTGCAGGCTCACTCGTAGCAATGATTCAGCCGCATAAGCACTTCATAGCTGAACGCCAGTATGAGGAATTCAATAACAAGATAGCCAGTCGAACACGCCTGCACACATGCCGCTGCTGTAACACAGAAGGCAGGGGGATATAAACAGAGAGAACAAACACACTTGGAGTGGCTGACTATTTAGCTTGGGAGACATTGTTCTTTTATTTGTAAACAAATAGCAATAGTTATTTACCTCTCTAAGGAGGAGAACAGGTAAGAGAAGCATCATGGTTTTTCTTCATATTAGTACACACAACAAATTCTGCTGTCTGCGTTCAACCCGCTGTGAAACATCAGCTCAGTGAACCCTGGAAACAGAAAACCTGGACTGCTGTGTAATGTGTGTGAATAAGAGACTTTGTTTCTGTTGGTTTTCTAAATGTTTTAGGTATCTTCACTGGTTATTCACCCACATCCCCGTGTGATTCTCAAGCTTCGCTGTGATTTTCTCCTGACATGGACACTGGTCTTCAGTTCATTTCAGATTTTTGTTGATTTTAAATCAATATTTTCTGGAAGCGACTAAATAATACTTAAAACTGAAAAAATAGAATTTTCCTCAGAACACTGCCAAATATTGATAGAATGAAACAGACCCAGAGCATTAGTTTCTTCAGAATATTTTGTTATACCCTTATCTAAAATTAGAAAAATGCACGGAAATCTTTAAATACATTATTATATTGGTGATAATATATATATAGACATGCATATATACATACATATATACACAAATATATATATATATGTTATATTTATATATAATCACTAAGCGACTCGAAAAAAAAAGATTTCCGTATTTGTTTTCAATTCCTGAGAGTATATCAGGTTTGTGTTCAACAACAAGACATGGTTTAGAAAGTCAGTAAATTGTAAGTAAATAAACCATATAATGAAATGCAGTATAAAAAGCATTGCATTTCATTTTGTGATATTTGGTGATGTAATGGAAAATGTGTCTGAAAAAAAAAATAGAAAACACATAAAAATGTGGTGTTTGCAAGTGGTCAGTGATGTCCAGACTACTGAATCGTAAAGAATGTATTGATGAGTAACTGACTTTTCATTTCTTCTATAAAAATCACGACTATGTGAAAGAAAAAGGATTGGATGCATGAATGGAACCAATCCCTGTCGAGTCAGTTGTCGTAAGGATAGCATCCAACTAGAGAAATCGTCTTCATTTCCGCATTTATAACATTTAACAGCTGAAATGTTATGCACTTGAGTAAATATTACATTTTAAAAAATGAATGCACTTATTTGGGCTTCCAAGGTGTCATGTGCCCAGACAGATGGAGAGTCGTTACTAAAGTGCAGGACTGCAGACTGTTTTGGTTACTGATGTAGATTATCAATGAATATCAATTCAGTGTCTGGCCCTGAAATGCAGGAGATTAATTTTTCATAACCCTATTTTTTCAGCCACAGAGGATGTGATTTATTTTTTGTGAAATTAAATTGATTTACTGACGTCTGTGTGGCCGTAAAATGGCCCCGAGAAATCAAATAGAAATCAAACTGGGGTTTATCAATCTGTTGCACTGTTGGGTCTTAAAACACCACAAAAACACAATTGATGTTTGAAGGTCAGTGTTAATTAACGAACTGAGTGAAATTGTTCTTAAAGAACTGAAACAGAAATTATCGAGAAAGGTGCAAATAAGCCCTAAGAATGTTACATGATGGCACGGTACCAGAGGTGTTTATTTCCCCCCGCCCTTTGTCTGCTGATGATGCGAGATACCTATACTACCATGGTGCTTCTGGGAGAAGCAGTGATTGAGATGCTCTCATAAAGTTACCATCTGGAAGGGCTTTTAGACAGACTAACACCCGTTCCCAGAGGACAGAGCACTTCCCTGCTGCTGAAGACCTTGAACCACTTCCACAAGTCGGAGCTAGTAAAGTGTTTCTTTCTGGATACCAGACTAAAACATATCTCCTGTTCCAGGAGCCGTTCCCAGAGTGTGCAAAGGAAAGAGAGCACAATTGATAATGGCTTGGGCGAGAACTCCCACAGTTTCTATTTATCAGCCTTTGAGGGCCAAGGCTGCATCGAGCTCTCAAAAGTCATCAATCACTCCTCTTTTCACCTTTTAACCCTGACAGTTCAACAATGCACCATTCGATCCTTTCTAACCCCACAGTCTATAAAAGCTACACACAAAAGCTATATATTTTATATTTATATATTTATATTTTTTGTTCTGAATAGTTTGCATCAAACTACTTCAACGCAATGAATTAGAATAATGGGGGTGCAGGTATGACTCTGGTGTGTTCTATTACTTTAGCATAAAAAAAAATCTATCAATTTGTATGAACTTTCTCAGGTAGAACTAGTAAACATGTAATCACCTTAGTCTCACCTTGAAAAATGTGCACTTGCATTATTATTCAGTGTCAACAGTATTTTACCAAAACAACATGAAAACAATGAAAACATGTCATGACAAAACATGTAAAGAAAATAAGGTCGAAGAAAATACAACACAGTACCACAGCAACCATGGAATCCACACTGAAGTGATTGACAGGGAGCCACATGGGGGCTTTTTTTTTTTTTTTTTTTTTACAGCTACAGAGGTTTTATTTCTGTTTTTAAGGAATACTACAATTTTATTATAAAGTAGTAAAACTTCCATCAATATTGAGCTCGGTCTAGTGATGATGTCTGACTGACTAAGCATGTGATTCACAGCCAACTTCATCAGTAAATTCAAACTGTGATTTATTAACTTCTGTGCCAAAACACTTAACATGATTTACTCAATTCCTTCGAGCTAAAAAAATGCTGAGTCATTCCTGAAATGTTGTGAGGGAGAAACATTTCCATCCACCAAACATTATTCGGGACTTGACTAAGAACTAGTCAAAAACGAATGGACTACTAATCTAACCTGTTTTATTTGTTCATCCATCCACGCATACATCCATCTAATGGTTACACAAAAACTGAACCTTAAATAACTAGCACATCACATGGTGAGCCTATGCAGGGCCAAGCCTGCAGTACTGGACAATTTAAATTTCCAGTCACAACAAATTTGATACATCCATCTAATGGTTACACAAAAAGTCACAACAATGTTAGCCGTCAGCCTCTATTACAGACATTTTCAAAGGGTGTGTCACACACTCCAATAATATTTCTCACAGGTTAGAAAGTTGATCAGAGTCAGTAACAGCTCATACCATTGTATGCATTTAAAAGTATAAAATAATACACAGATTATTCACAACGGGACAACAAGAGAACTTATACAAAAAATGTCACAAAATATGGTATGTCATAAATCCTATGTGTCTCATTCGGTTTTTCCTGTTGTAGCCATGTCACAAGAACCAACGTTACACCAACAGTAAAGTCTTCATAACACAACACCACATGCCATTCAATGTTCACACAGAGCCTCACAACCGTCAAAGTTGTGCAGTGTGAACTGATCCACTACTTAAATACTGCAATGTTGTTAAGAAGGTTTGAAAGGCAAAAGGTTTGACTTTTATCCAGCAGAATTAAACTGTGTTGTGGCTCCTGCACGGAAAACCTTAATGTTTTATAGCTGATACCAGTAATAACCTTGGAGTTTTCCCGGCTCACTGTAAGGTAATAACATGTTAGCTTCTTCTGGTGAGTGTGAGCTTCCTCTCCTGCTCTCCAACACAGAATGCATGCGCAAACTGAGCGACTACAAAACCAGTAATGTGTGCTAACCAGATGGTTGACAATCATCTTCACTGTCCATCTGTGCAGCTCTACTCTGTGGGCTAGATGTTGATAGTTTAAATTAAACAAAAAACATCAGTTTTACTACATACTGTAAGCCCAACTTTACTGGCATTTAGCTGTGATCGTTGTGTTTCAGAGGCAGAACCACATTTGTTTGTTTGGGTTTTTGTTATGATACCACTTTAGCATTCACTAGCCTGGAATTTGATAAAGTGCAGCCAATTTCTATTTGTATCGTCTGTAAATACAAGTTCTATCTCTTTCCTGTTTTACTTAATTACTTAGTTAATTATTATTGTAAGGTCTTAGCAGTTTTTTTTAATTTTACGCATTTACCAAATTAATAATGACTGAGCCAAAATGAGTTTCCTGTTTAGCAGAGCAGCAAACACTGCTGACCACATCACACCTATATGTTAAAATAAGATGAAGCTGTGAGATGAGTTTATCTGGTGTTCTGATAATTATCATATTTAAAGGTTGTTTTAATCGCAGCCAGCTCCAACCAGTTTTGCTAATTGTGGCAGAAGGCTTTGTTTTGGTGTGGACTGTTTTGTTTTCCTCAATGCAACCTCAGCCATCTCAGTTCACTGACTGGGACTAAACTAGGAGTTCCAGTCAACATATTGATGAGCTAATTTCTCCACAGCTTTGACTAATTACAGCTTGTGACTACACAGTCATGCTGGTGTCTTGAAAAAAAAAAAGTAAGTGCTGCTTCAGAACACACACACAGCCACACACAGCCACACACACTTATTATAGGTGCATTACTGATGTCAGGCCTGTCTTCAGCTCTGTTGTTGTTTCCCTGTAGGAACTTTTAGGCTATGCTGCCCTTAAATGAACTAATATAAAATCATCTCACTATCGTGCAGGCTAACTTGAATATGTTTTCTCTCTTTTGCTCTTGTAGTTAGCCAATCTGATGTCCACAAAAATGTAGTAGGACAGCTGGTGTGTGTGTGTGTGTGTACATGTACAGTGTTGGGCTCATCTCTTGCATATAAACATACAAACGACAAACTGCACACTACTGTTGACGTTCCACAAAATATAAATGTGTCCAACTGTGTCAAAAATACTGACCAAATGAGAAGGACAGAGACAGAAAACTAATCTCACAAGTACAACCATATTAAATAACTATTTAACTGTTATTTAACTACAACCATATTAAATAACTATTTAACTATGTTGTTTTGTGCCACTCTCATTTACTCTCAATAGGTTTTGGGGGCGGGGTTGCACTGGATGCCCTTCACAACACAACTTTCCCTTTGTTCTATCCTCACTGGCAGTTAAGGCAGTAAGTAGATTCTATCTGGGACCCACTGCAGGTTTCTAAGCATGACACAGAGGGTGTTTAGAGGGGTCTTGAGTGAATATGAACATGGCAGCTGGACATGTGTGCGTTGGTATTAATCACATTATGTCAACAAATTATGTAGATGCAGTCATATCATGAAACCAGCTGCATTACGGGGACCAAAATTTATATCCTGTGTCATATGTTTTCAGGTGAACTCATTCATTACTGTACGTACTGTATATGTTTTGGTATTTTCATCTGAAGTTTTCGAATCACTGACTGTGCCTCTTTCTGGCCCCAAGAAAACTTTGTCCTACACAATTTGGTGTCTTAATAAGATAGATTTGTTTTCTTCTCTTGCCACTGACCACAGGGCAACTCCCTGAAAAATAAATGTGCAACACTAGTGAAAAATCTTCTCAAGTTAGAAGGGAAGTTCGAGAGAGGTTTTACACAAACTAGCATTTTTACACATTCTGATTCTTTAGTGGGGTTATTTCTGCCATCGTGCTACTGTTCTGATTATATAAGTAGAAACCCTTCATCAACCAACTGCTAACTACCTTCAGTTCAGCCCACCTGACCACTGCAAAACTCATCTCCAGCCCCCCTCCAACAAATACCTCCTATCTGTCCTTCAAACAAGCCAAACTATGAAATGAGCTCAGAAAGATGAAAGCGAAGGAAGCAGCTGCTCCTGACACCAAGACATGTTCTTCCACAGCACCAGGACAGGTGCCCGTGTGTGGTACCTGTGCCAGTGACATCACACCCCAGGGATTTTAGCAGTTACAAAATTGTATTATGTCCTGGTTCTCAGAGGTCACCGAACTGTCATCACATTTTCTCAGCTCAAATTTCTCAGACAGCAGTGCAGTTGGTGGTCTGAGCTCAGAAACAGTTGACAAGGTGTAGAGAAAATCTCCCTGACAGAGAACCAATTAAAAAAAACTATAAAACTATATATGTTTATAAAATGTATGCACATGTTTAGTTTAGTAAATTTAAACAGCAGGATTTTTAACAAACAAATCCCAGTCTCCATCAAACAAGGAGAGCCAGCTCTTCAGACCAGGACACAGCTGTTCATCTACATTTCAAGAACAAAGGACACTCTTTTGAGGATGAAAATGTACATATTCTTGTTAGAGAACACAGATGGTTTTGTAAGATGAGTGGTAGGACATCTACTGTCAACCTGCAAAAACATCACTCAACACAGAAGGAGGCTTCAGAGACCATCTCTCAGCCACTTCCAATGTTGTCCTTAGGTCACTTCCCAGTAAACTCAACCGTCACACAGCAAACAACAAAGGCAGACTCCAGCCAACCAGGTCCCTCAGGTGATACCAACTCAGGTGCTGTATACAATTTAATACTCATCCATTTCAGAACATAAGCCAGCAAAAAAAAAAAAGTAATATAAAAGTTAAATCTTCATGCTACAGAAAACTCTCTATCTAAACCCAGTCCAGCCCCAGAGGCGGGGATAGAAACACCAGTCTTTGTACTGATCTCTGGTCTGCATTCTTAGGTAATAACTCACTCGCACTGCACTACCTTGCTTTTATGTCTTTTTAATGCAATTTCTAAGAGCACATACAAAAAAAGGATTTCCCTGTGAGCGCCCAACTATGACAGCTGGGCTCCAGTGACTTTGGTTTTCAAAAGATATGGCGTCTCTTGTGGCCAGTTTGTGACATACATTATATCCAATAGAATGGTTAGGTTTGATGGAATCCAACCTGTCGCACAAAAAAAAAAACTATACTTTTAGTATTATATTGGCTAATTTTGAAGTGGCGTTAAAGACTAAAAAAAGATGCATTAGGTAAGGACGTGTAGTTTTTCTGTACTTTCTAAAGCGTCTACTTCTGAAGGCTGTAGACATATTTAAACCTCTGTTGATGACAGAAGAAGGTCAAATTCTGAGACAGCCTTGGATTTTTACTATCTTAGCCAAAGTGTGAATAAAGGACGTCTGCCCAGAAGGCTCATTGAACAGAGTTAAACTGCCTTAAACACGACATCTCAAGCTCTGTATATATATATATATATATATATAAAAATAGTGTCAAAATGAAATGATTTGCTCACCATTTTACACAGAACTTCATAATGTAGTCCATGAAATTGTACATTTCTAACATCTGAGTTGATAAAAGTTGTGAGAGCTGAGCTAAAGCTGACAATACTTACAGCAGTGTGTAGAAAGTTGAGGCTGCAGCAGGAGGAGATATAGCAAAGTTCATAAGCAATAAGCCCTGGCCGCAATCTCCAGCTCCATTTTGAAGAATCAAAAACGTGCTTGAAGTCCAGTCTGGATGTGTAATCCCTCCCATGTGCTCTGCGCCTCCATTTGGTCCCCTTTCAATTAGACACTGTAGGTAAAAAACACTGGAGTTAGAGCCATCCTAATCCACTGTGTGCATCACCTCAGCTCTCTCGGATTTTTTTTTGCATTAGACAGGAAGATCTCTCCATTCTGTGTACATCTGAGCACATTTCCTATTATCTGTGATTCAACCAATGTTAATTCATTATCTATATCATTATTCTATAAAAATAGTAGACCCGCTTTTCATCAATATCACTGAATATGTATTTTTGTTCATCTTAAGAAATCACTAAGAAATTGTGTGTTTGTCCAATGTCAACAAGTTATATTGAATGCATTTGTTAAGAAAATATTATATTAACTTATTAAAGTTTTCTTTTAATTAAGACATCTTATCCTGACATTTTGTCAGTCTCCACTTTGAGGGGATTGCGCTTCAGAAAAACCTCAAACCAAAGCTTTAAAGATTAAGAATAAAAATGAAAACCAAAGGAAATTTTTTGTAGGTCAACCTTATTTGAAGATGTATTAAGATCACTGATGTGAAAATCTAAAGAGGTAGATAGCAAGTGGCCACTGTGGTCCCCAAGGAGAACATGTGCAACACTGCAGTCTGACTCACAGCAGCAGAAGCACTTCTGTATGCAGGTGAAATTAAATTAAATGGGAATTTAAATTTATGTTTAAGAAATGTGTTTTTTTAATGAACACAAGCTATGTTAATGTCCTTTCATTGCACCTTGTTTTTATTTGTATCTAAATTGTACAAAAAAGTAAAATGGTGATATTGCTAAACACAACAATGGTGTTGGATGAAACAGGTAGACCAGTATTAACCTAATAACAATATGATGTTAATTAGCAGGCACAAAATGTAATGCTGACATTCATGGTTTTGAACAATGCATGACTGTGTAAAATACAACATTACTGTCAGACAGTCTTCATCTGGACAAAAATACAATATATCACATCATTGTATCAGGTGTAGTTCCTTTAACAAAAAGTGAGCCAATCCAGGTTATAGACACATTTAATTATGATTTTAAAAAAACTAAGTGATTGTTTAATGTTTAACACTATGGTCAACACAAATGGTTTTAACATAGACATGCGCTAATGTAGGTTGTTTACATCCAGTAATTATATTAGGCATTAACTGCTGTCAATTCTTAAAGCTCATAAAACAACTATGGTTTGGACTTGACTCTATGAGACCAGTTTTAGTACATTTTAGCTAGCCTACAAGCTAGCTTACTAGCTGTAGCTAGCCTAAAAATATGTAATTTGTTTTGTTTTGTTTTATTCTCTACATGCATAGTAAACTTTGTGGTAGCTGCACATTTGAAGACCAGTGACTTAAGTTTGCATCTACAAGAGTATTCTACATAAATAGAAAGTCATTTGTCTTTAAAGTGTACTATATTTTACCAGTCTTGCCAACTGGGGTTGCAGTATTGTAGCAGAGCTAGACACATTTCATTCTCTATGTAGCTTTTGACTTCCATCTTAAAAGCTAAGGTAGCAGCTAGCCAACTAGCTAACACCAATATGCTTGCTACAAAGGCCAGTGGACTTAAATGCAGGACAACAAAAGAAGTTCAAAAGTAATCCTTCAAAATAATTGTCACATTGACAGCAAGTGTAACTATATTTATAGGTTTACTCACAATTAGGAGGCCACAGGAAACAAGAGAAAACAACACATGGAAAGGCAGGGATAGAAACACTGCTGCATGTAGTTACTGGCAAATGGATGAAATGGGTGGAGAACCATTTTATAGAGACATGGGCGGAGTTAACAAGACAGGGGCAGGGAGTTATGTAATCACATTGGAGGGAAGCACAGGAGGCAGGGAAAAGTAGCACCTGGAAGGTGGGACACAAGAGGGAGACACCACTGAAGCTAAGCCAATGGGAAATTGAGTTACAGTTCTCCCACCTGACAACTTACAAAAGAAAAATAGGAAAATACAAAGAAATGGGGGGACAAAATCCCTGCTAATGATCCCAGCACCATAGAATTACATTTATTTGTTGTGTCATCATCAAACAAATCATAAATACAAGCAGGAACATGCCATATTATATTTATATATTTATATACAGTAAACCCTTGTTTTTCGCGGGGGTTACGTTCCAAAAAGAACCCGTGATAGGCAAAATCCGTGAAGTAGAAATCTTTATTTTTTTTACAATTAAATACTCAGAAAAAGAAGAGAAAGAACGAACAAACCATTTTACAGTCTCAACCATTTGTTTCACAAATAAAGTAAAATAAAAGTACTTTAGAAACGTTTCAACAAATAACTTCTGTAATGTACTGTCAAATAATAATTTTAATCATCAACGTGAACAGAAGGCTTCAAATTGCGGAGATTAGCACCGCCCACCGTGAACGGGAGAAAATTAAAAATGATTATGAAAAAAATACAAATTACCTGGTCTTGTTGCGGGCAGTTGCAACCCTTTTTGAATCCTTATTAAAACTTATTGCTGCTGTCTTCCTTATGTTTTTTTCTTCCTTCTTTATGGAACGAACGGAAGATTCATTAATTCCATAATGCCGACCTACAGCCGCATAGCTTTTACCTTCATTTAGCATGTCCAATAGTTTTACTTTATCACCGATAGACAGCATCTTCCGCTGCCTTTTGGTCCCTACCGCAGGTACTTTTGCCGGTCCAGAGCGTTTTGTCGACATTATGGGGTTTGATAAACTCGAAATTGCAAGAGAATTTGCACGTACGTAATGTCAATTTGGCAAGCTGTTTTACGTACGTGTACATATTAAACCGCAACGTTATTGGCGCACAGGTAGAGAAGAAGCGGAGTGACTTTTTAGCCAATCAGAATGCAGAACACAATGCACGAAGCAAATCCGTGAAGTAGCGAAACCGTGAAAAGTAAACCGCGTTATAGCAAGGGATCACTGTATATATTTATATTTATTTATTTGGATAAAAAAATCAAATTTTGTCTTTTATTTTGGTGGATATTTTCATGAAAGTGTTTAGATTTATAGACATATTTATTTTACACTAAAACTGAAAATAGGCCAGTCGCAGCACAAAGATTTGAAAAGTTTTTATTTTACCTATTCATTCAGAATCACTACTAGGATTCTGAGGGCTTGTATTTAGGGAGGCTCTTGGTGAGAACGTGTTAAATAGGTGTAAAATGGGTTTTGGAAAAGACAGTTCTGTGGGAGAAAGAGACCAATGCTCATTTGATTTAATGTCAGTCTAACTTTCCCGTAGGATGTCTGCCCCTAATTGTTCTCTTCACTTTTTCTATTGATTAGGATGTACAGTAACTTACATAATTTACAGTCCAGTTCACTGATTCGCTACCATAAGGGTCATGGCACTCAGTTCGCCACAATCATCATATATGAGGGCACAATACATTTTCAGCTCAGATACTGTGGGTTGTGAAGAATGTAGGACAGAATTGGTGATTCATTTTCAAACATAGATACAGATATTTTACTGTTTTTAGTGTGATCAACTTTGACTGTTTTTATCGGGCTTCATTGTCAACCACAGACATGCTTTCCTTATTAAGGTCTATAAAGTGCTATATTTATTTTCTTCTTTTATTTCAATATAATGAATTGTCCATGCATTTTAGATGAGACTACACGCATGTAACCTTGTGATTAAGGCTTGTAAGTACAGAGACCTTGTGGAGTATTGATCAGGCGACTGGGAGGGCAGACAGGAGACTGAAATGATTCCATGATTAATTAACCATCAGACCTGACACTGACTTCTTCGACATGTGACACCAGCCCTCACGTGTCACTTACAGTACCTTACACCTTAAACCAAAGGTAAAGTTCAGCCCTGGCACTGCAGACCTTTGAGTTTCTACAGCCGAACTTGTGATTTCCAGTTTTTACTGAATATGACAATTGAAACACGAAGCACAAACATGAAAAAAGATGATCTTTGCTAACAATTCCTACATGAAAAATTAGCAAATTAATGAAGGTTTGATTTGTTTGAAGATTTGTTTGCTAACAATTCCTACATGAAAAATTTGCAAATTAATTACTTATATTTTATTGTTTCAATAAATTGATGTTTTGTTTCCTTAGGCGACACCTGGAGGTTTGATTTGTTTCAAGGTTCATACAAGTCACTTTGGGAAATGAAGTCAATTCAGCACACAAACAGTCGACCAAATCTGGAAGCATACAGTAGACATGTTCCAAAAAGAAAGGTTACAACTTAAACATTTTATTTTAGGAAGGCTGAGTCAAAGATGTACCTTATTAATGTTGCTGATCACATTTGACCACACTGGTTTCTGTCACTTTTACATGACCTT